ACACACACACACACACACACACACACACACACACACACACACACACAAAATGCCCTAAGAAGATCAGGTAGAACATTTACTTCTCAAAGACACAGGAAGAGAAATGCAAGTTTTCCCTAGAAGGCCTTTGTTTAAAGTCAGAATTCTGAAAAGATACTCTTATCAAGCTGGCTTTTTAAACTTAACTGTGTATACAGTAAAAGAGCCCCGTCATTTTTAGGACGAGATTTCCTTTAATTCCAAATTAAGTACTTGTAAATTTTTTACATTCATAAACCTTGCTGGGGTATTAGTTGGGGGCTGGCAATATGTCGTTCCTTTTTCTTCTGTTTTGAAAGCTTTTATTCCCCCATTCAAAGGTCAGTTTGTCAAAATAATATCGCTAGTGTAGACAATTCAAGGAAAAACGACAGGCCAGCTTCCCCTTAATTACCCAGTCCAATACTACTCAGTCTTCTAAGTGAGCAAAGTCTTCCCAGTCCTTCAGCTGAAGATAAACAACTCAGTGTCTAAACTGAGCCCCAGTGTTTTTCAACCGGACTCCCCAAATATCTTTCAATTAGGGGGGATCACTCCCCAATATCTTTCAACTGGGGAGCCAGGTACCTGTTAGACACTGCCATATAAAACTCAGGATCATCAACCAAAACTTGGGAGATCTGAGAACCAGGAGAGACTCACCAATTCGTCTGGACTCTCTGAGGAGGCAGGTGGGCATAAGAGACCTCTGCTGGTACCAAGGCTCTGGATCCTCGTTGAGTTCAGGCAAAGGAGAGAAGTCTGCTCTCAGCCCTTCGTGGTCTCCATAACTATCGACTAAAAAAAAATGCACAACATAAAAGTTGAGAGCTATGCTTTATTCAGGGGACATTCTTAGGACTTCAAGGCTGGGAGACATCCTCTCAGAAAAATTCTGAGAAAACTGTTCCAAAGAGGAAGGGCTGGGGCAGTTGGCCGTGGGGGGGTGGCAGGAAACCAAGGTATATTGGAGTTTTTGCAACAAGACCATGTAGTCAGAACAAAAGGTTACTCTTTCATTTTTGATTTGTTTGTTTTTTGAGAATAATTTACTTTCTGTAATCAAACCCATGTGGATAAGACCTTACATACTTAATATTGTACATTACCCTTGTACAAAAGGAAAAAATTATGTTTAACATTTCTAGACCAATATGGCTATTAATTTCTGTACAATGCCAACCCAACATGGTACAATTGAGATATTTTTCCAAAGTTGACAGCACAGCTAAAATTTCCAAAAATTCAAATTATATCTAGATATATAGATTTATTCACATAAAAAGACCAATAACAGTATGTTACACAGCAGTAGCAGCAACAGCCTTTCCAGGTTCTGCAGTCATCTAAATAAAATTATAGAGACATCCAGCACACTCCATTAAAAAAATTTAAAAAAAGTAAAAAACAGAAAACAGCAAAGTTCTGTTACTGTTGTGGTACCTGGCATCATTTTTTTTATTAGCTTCTTAATCATCATCTGGAAAGAAAACATTCTAAAATAATGTCATTAAAAACAGCTGTGGTAAAGCACAGTCAATACTATGTATCATAAAGCAGGTATAAGATATTTTATTAAT